ACCCGAGCCCCGTCTCCGTGGGAGGGGTGGCTCCTGACCCCCGAGGCCCGGGGGTGGGGGGTGCGGGGTGAGGGCTGGGGAGACAGCAGCCGGCCATGTGGAGGGGCGACGGGGGCGACACCCCGACCTGTGTTGCTCAGGAGGGGGGAGGGGTGACCAGGGTGGCTTCGCTGAGGCGGGAGCAGCTCAGCAGAGTGCCAGGCGAGGAGGGCGGTCCGGCCGTCCGCAGGGGCGGCGGCCCAGGCCCGGGCAGCTGCGAAAAGGCCCGAGGCAGGAGCGCGCGCAGGGGTTCGCCTGGCCCCGAGGCCGGGCAGGCCGGGCGGCTCCGCGGTTCGTCAGGAGGACCTCGCTTGTCCCCAGAGAAGGGGAGAGCAGAGGCTGGACCGGGTCTGAGGTTTCAAAAGATCTCCTGGCTCCGTACGTAGGTCAGCAGGGCAAGGAGACAGGACCTTCTGGGCAGGAGGTGCTGGGACGGGGACCCAGATGGCAGATAAGGACGGGCGTGGCCGCTCGCCTGGCTCGCTGGCATCCTGGGCACCTGGGGGTGGGGGGAGGCGCTGAGCAACGCCCCCTCGTGTGACTCAGTTCCTAAGGGACCTCACACCAGGCAGCTTAAAACAACAGAAATGTGCCCTCTCCCCGTCCTGGAGGCTGTGAGCCTGAGAGCCAGCCAGGTGCTGCAGGGCCCCGCGCCATCCGCAGGCTGCGGGGGCGCCAGGCGTCCTTCCTGGGCTCGGGCCGCGTCCTTCCGGCCTCTGCCCGTGTGCCCTCCCCGGGAGAGGGCGCTGCCGCTGGGTTCAGGCCTCTCCCCCGACTCCACGGTGGCATCACAAGACCCTTCGCCTGCTCACATCCGCAAAGGCCCTTCTTCCAAAGTAAATTCACAGGCGCACGTCACGGGGGTGCGGCCAGGTGGGATGCGTCTTTTGGGGCTTCATTCAGCCCAGCACCACAGGGCTGCGCAGCCCCCATGGCGGCTTGGGCCTCACCTCCTGTGCTGGCCTCCTTCTCCCAGCTGCAGCCCCTGCTCCGGACCCCGCAGGGCCTACTCGCCCTCCGTCCAGGAGACCCCCTGCCCCTCGCCCTCCTAGGCCTGCTCGCCACCGTCACCTTCTCCCCGAAGCCCCTCCCGTTCCGAAAAGCACCCCCAACATTCCCCTCCGTGACGCCGAGCCTGGGCACCGTGCATGCCCCCCCCCCCCCACATGTGAATGGGCGGAGGGAGCTGAGCTGAGAGCTCGCGGACGTGAGGAAAGGGCAGAAAGAGGGAGTGGGCGGCCCCAGAGTCGTGGGGGCACGGCCAGGCCAAGCCGAGCGGGCGGGGGGTGTGCCCGCAGCCTGGCAGGGACCCCAGGCCCACCCCGAGAGCTGGGTGGCGGCAGCCTCGGGGAGGCAGGCGCGGGCAGGGTGGGCTGCAGCCAGGGAGCTGCTGAAGGGGAGGCCCTGCTGGGGGGGGGCCAGGCCGGGATGCACAGGGCTGGGCGGGGGTGCCCTGAGCCCCGCGTCCTGAGGGTCCCGGGGGCGGACGTGGGCACGTCCTTCATGGCGCTCGCAAAGGAGAAGCCCGGCTCTGGCCTGAGGGGCGAGCAGGGCTCTCCACCCTACCCGCTGGAAGCATCTCCCTGGGTGGGGGCAACACCAGGGCACCGGCCCTCTGTCCGCCCACCCCCGCCCTGGCCTCGCCGCCGCCAGACCCCTGCCTGCGCCGGCAGTTGCACCAGCCCCTCGGCTCTTTTCTGCCCTCCCCGCCCCCTCAGGGTTTAAGGCAGATGCCACCCCCCAGGCAGACCCCTGCCCTCCACCCAGGCTCTGTCCCAGCGGCTCGAGCAACGTGGCCGCCCCACGGACATCGCTGCAGGCCCCCGACAACGGGCCTGCGATCAGCCCACCAGACGCAGCCTGGCCCCTGGACACAGCGTCTGCCCCCTCGGTCCGCACCCCTGCAGCCCCGCTCCCCGCAGTGGGCACTCCCGCCTCACTGAGCCAGGGCCCTAGGGGTCAGAGGACAGGGCGGCCAGGGCTGGCCGAGCGGGGGACGCGGTTTCCTGCGACATCGGCCTCGGCCTCGGCCTCGGGGGAAGGGGAGCGTGTCGGCCCGGGCAGGCGGGCAGGCACCCAGGTGGCGGGGGTCTCCAGGTGAACGCAGTTCTCAGGCATCGTGCCCAGCAACCACTCCTGCTTCTAGAACCGTCAGAGCCTGCCCAGCCCCATCGCCCACGGCCGAGAGGGTTCCCTGGAGTGGGCAGCTGGGGTGCCTTCCTTCTCATCCGTGGGCCCTGGGGAGAGCCCCCCGCCCCACGGCGCCCTGCCTTTGAGGATGTGGTGCCTGCGACCGACCCAGAGCCCCTCCCTAGCCCGTGTGTGCCCATTGGCGTGAGCATGGGGTGAGGGACCTGGGTGCTCTGACTTCTCTGTGAGCCATGGGGGGCAGAGCCGGCGACCAAGCCTCCCAGCTCCCCCCGCCCCGCCATCCCCGCCACCCCCATGAAAGAGCAGAGCACTCAGAACAAAATACATTTCGATACTTTATTGGGATTGCGAGCGATGGAGGTTAAAGACAAAGCCCAGGCGTTGGGCCTTGCCAGAGACAGCGTGTTAGAGGGGCTGAGTTGAGGCGAACACGGCCACTGGACGGTGGGCGGGCAGTGGCGGGTGGCATGGTGTGTTCTGCGCGTGGGGGTCTTCAGGTGATGGTGCAGGGAGGGACCCAAGAGGGGGTCCCGCTGAAGACTGTTGTGGGGAGGACTCGGGGAAGAGACGAGATGGAGAGAGAGCCACGACCAGGGCATGGGAGGCCAGGGGGAGCCGGGGCCGATGGCTGCGGACCCACGGAGAGCCGTGCGCCGGGCGGCACAGAGGCGCGCCGGCAGATGCCCCCGGAGCGCCCGTCCCAGGGAGGCGCGCGTAACACTGTGGGGACGGGCGTCCGGCAGAACGGGCGGGCAATTTGGGGGTGCCTCTGAGTCTTTTTAGATCTCCAGCCAATCTGGGTTCTCCAATCAGGACGAATTTGGCTCTTTGGGCTTCTGTCCAATGTTCCGAATGGGCCCGTTCCCCGGGCGTGTGCCGAGGGCCCCTCTGTGCCGAGGGCAGGCTGGCAGGGACCGCCCCCGGGGTCATGCCAGCCCTGTTGCCAGGGCCCAGAAGTCTCGGGTCTCTAGGCTGCTAGTCGGGCTGCCCGCAGGGGGGGCCGCGCCGGGGGCAGAAGTGGGGGGAGGTAGGCCTCCCGGCCGCCCGGCTCCCTGGGACAGCCCTAGGCACCGAGGTAGATGGTGGCTGTGTCGGCACCAGACCCGTGGGCCTCGGGGCCCCAGCAACCCCGGCTTGGTGGGTCAACCCCACCGCTCTCCTGCTCCGCGGGGCTCCCTTCTGACCTCCCCGACTGCCCGACCTCGCCCAGCCTGGCCCCCAGGAGGCCCCACGGAGCTCGGACCTCCTGGGGGCGAGACGGGGCGCCGAGGCGGCGGGCACGGTGTCACCGAGGGGCAGGGGGAGAGCTCCCCAAGTGCGCGGAAGGCGGCCGCCTGCTCCAGCCCGATGGAGCCCTGTTCTCTCATGCCTGCAGCCCCTTCCCCCCCGGCGGCCGCGGGCCTGCCGGGGGCCCCTCCTGGCGGCCACCGAGCACCTTCCTGACACTTGGGGAGATGCCGCCCCGCCCCCCCTCCGCCCCTCAGGACCCCCGGGGACCAGCCACTGTCTCCGGGGGCCAGGCCGGGCAGCGGCCTTCTCAACTCCCCTATTCTTCTCCGAGGGGCGCCGTGGCCAGCGTCCCCAGAGGCTCCACTCTCAATTCAGCCCAAGCGACAGGGACAGGCTACAATTCCAATGCAGGGAGATACATGGCGGGGAGCAGGGCGTGCGGGCGGTGGACGGTCGCTTCGCGCGGTGGCGCTTCGGTCGCTGCTCCCCTGTTATGGGGCGGGGGCGTTACATGGGTGCACGAGCGCGTGAGAAGCCAAGGAGGGGTCAAAAAAAAACCAAAAAAAAAAAAAAAAAAACGGAAACAAGCCCCAGGAGAATCGAATTAAAGGGGGGAAATAGATCAATTGGCGTCAATTTGGGTCTCTGATTTGAGTCTGTAATTCTGCAAGTCTCCTCTACACTCTCTTCTGACTTTGGACCGAAACCTCGCTGGGCCACTTCCTACCCTAGAGCACCCCCACCCAGCCCCCACTGCCCCCCACCCACCCCTCCAACCGCCATACTTCCCACACTCCCCGTCGCCTTTGCCGGCCCCCGGGGGCCCCCATTTCTGAGGGGCCGCCCGGGAGGCCGGCAAAGGCGACCCCAGGCGTGCCGGGGCGGCCCCAGGTCCTCCCCGGGGGCACACCTAGGGGTCAGGCTACGGCGGGGGACACGCCCTGCTTGGCAGCAGCACCTCTAGTCTGGCCGCACCCTGTCCTTGCTGGCGCGCACGGTGGCGGGGCACGCCGGGGGGTCCGGGGGCGACGCCGGCGAGGGAGGGCCGCTCCCTCGTCTCGGGAAGATGGCAGCCGAGCCCAGGCCTGGGGCACACCCCTCCCGCCTGGGGGCGTCGCGGGGGACCGAGGGGAGCAAGGCACCGGAAAACCTCATGGCAGGGACCTGGGGTGGGACGGACCGGTCGGCCCCACGCGGGGTCGCGGGGTCGTTCTCAGCGTCTTCATCTGTCCTGCGTGTGAGGGTGTGTGCGCGTGTGTGACGGTCTGTGTGAGTGCACGTGGTGTTGTGTGTGTGTGTGTGTGACGGTGTGAGTGCACGTGATGCAGTGTGTGTGTGTGTGTGTGTGGTGTGTGACTGTGTGTGTGTGGTGTGTGACTGTGTGTGTGGTGTGTGACTGTGTGTGTGCTGGTGCACATTGTGTGGATGTGTGTGTGTGGATGTGTGTGTGGTGTGTGTGATGTGTGTGGTGTGTGTGTGGTGTGTGTGATGTATGTGGATGTGTGTGTGATGTGTGTGTGGTGTGTGTGATGTGTGTGGTGTGTGTGTGGTGTGATGTGTGTGGTGTGTGTGTGATGTGTGTGGATGTGTATGTGTGATGTGTGTGTGGTGTGTGTGGTGTGTGTGATGTGTGTGGATGTGTGTGTGTGATGTGTGGATGTGTGTGTGTGATGTGTGTGGATGTGTGTGTGTGATGTGTGTGGATGTGTGTGTATGATGTGTGTGTTGTGTACGTGGTGTGTGCGTGAGGGCGTGTTTCTGTGGGGAGGTGTGTGTTTATATATGTACTTTTGGGGGGTTGGTCTGTAAGACTTTGGGGGTTCGTGCCAATCAAGTTTTGTTTGCGCCAATTGCGGTTTTCCTGTGCCCTGTCCCCTCACGGTGACTCCGGGTGGGGCCCGAGCGGAGGACGAGGCTGGGTGGCCGCTGGTGGTGGCGGCCAGTTCCCGCCGGGGGTGCCCAGAGTCTTGCATGGGCAGGGAGGTGGCTGGGAAGCAGAGACATGCCCACTGAAAATTTGGGGTCCCCTCCTTTCTCTTGGGTGTCAGGAGCTCGAGGCGTGGCCAATTTGACTCGAGGTCCAAGGGGAAGAGGAGGAGGGGAGGGGGGCGCCAAATTCTTTTATTTTGCCAATTATTTTGAAGCCAATTGGTTTTTTAGGATGTTTTCAGCCAATTGTTTTTTTTGTTTGTTTGTTTGGTTTTTTTTTTTTTTGGATTTTTTTTTTTAAGCCTAATTTGCTTTTCTGGTGTTTTGGAAGAGCCAATCAGTTTTAAGGGGGCTGGTGTGTGTGTGTAAGGGGTGACGTTTTCCAATTGTGTTGTGTAGTTTGGGGGGATGACTGGAGTGATAATTTGGAGTGATAATTTGGGGGGATAATTTGGGGGGATAATTTGGGGGGATATTTTGGGGGGATATTTTGGGGGGATCGTTTGGCCGATATTTGGGGGGAGATTATTTAGAGTGATTAATTCAGGAGGATAATTTGGGGGGATTTTTGGGGGATGTTTGGGGGATGTTTCAGGGAGGCAATTTGGGGGGTATCAGAGCCAATCGGGTTTGTACCTTCCGTAGCTGGGGGCGCGGCCCGCGCCCGGTGGGGGCCGAGCAGAGCAGCCTGACGTGGGGAGGTCGGGGCATGGAGGCGAGGCGGGGAGCGCACCGGGGGAGGACGCAGAGAGGCTCTGCAGGGCCTGGTGGTAAGGCCGCCGGTCAAGAAGACAGCAGGAGGAGCAGGGGCCGTTCCGCAGAATTACGACCGTTTGGCTCACTTCTAATTGCTGGACACCTCTGGAGAGGCACCCCCGTGGGCAGCTGGGTCGAGGGTGGACAGGGCGATCAAAGGCCGGTGACGCTTGGCCTCTCTGAAGGCTTCCAGCTCCCTGGCCAGCATGCGACCCCGGCGGACCCGCAGGAGAGCAGGCAGGCCCCTGCGCAGGCGTTGGGCGGACTGCATCCAGGAGCCGTGGCGGAGGAGCTTGCCCACGGGGTATCTGGGGAAGTTGTCCTGGGGGGTGGGGGGGCGGTCAGGGGGTGCCGGCTGCCAGGCTGAGGCCCCCAGTCAGCCCGCGGCCCTCCCGGCGACCTGAGGGGCTTGCACCTAAAGTTGTCACCGTGCCGGCTGATGGGTAACAGCAGACCCACAGCCTGCTCAGCTCTAGCCAGGGCGGTGGGCGGGGGACACGTGGCATGCGTGCGGCTTCCTCTCTCGCCACGCTTGCCACTAAGGAGCGGGCTGTGCCCTGGCCCCCTGGCTCAGGGGCGACAGCCCAGGGGGCCCCAAAGGAAAGGGAGCCCTGGGCCCGTGGGAGCGGCCGCCCTCTTACCGGAAGCGCGGTCGGAAGAGCCGACACGTCCCTCTCGGACTTGGCGGGGGTGGCGCAGTAAGTCTCCAGGAGGGCCAGGTCGCAGCTGCGGAAACAGCATTCTTCCACGATGCCGCGGATGCCCCGGCTGCGGCGGCTCGCCCGGCTGGCCGGCCTGCCTGCAAGTCCCACGGTGGGGCTGGTCAGCGCCCCGCGCCCCGCAAGCCGGGGCAGGCGGGGGCCCCCAGCACGCGCCGCAGGGGATGGCGGGGGCCCTCCAAGGTTGGGGAAATGGGTTCAGGGGCCCCCTGGCGAGGGGCCCAACGCCCACCCTCCGTGCACACAGCGTCCTGTCCTGAAGGCCAGGCTGGGACAGCAGTGCCACCCTGAGCCGAGCAGGGGCCGGCGGCCCCCAACCCGGAGGCAGGGAGACAGGCAGGAATGGGAGGAGGAAGAAGAGGACGGGAGGAGAGGAGTGAGGACCTGCAGAACCACGCCCTCCTCTCCTCCCGTCCCCCCCTCCCGCCCCCGGCTCGGGTCTCGGCCGCAGGGGAAGGCGCCCAGGCCTCCCCGCGGGGTGCCCTTGGCGGGGGCCGGGAAGAGCCCCAGGATGGGGCTCTGGCGTGGGTCCCGTGGCTGGGGGCTTGGCCTAGCACCGTTTTTGGGGAACCTGGTGCAGGGGCCCACACCCTACAGTGCCGCTTCCTGCCCCCAGAGGAGGCCGGGGGCAGTGGGGGGCGGTGGGGGGCGGGGGGCGGGGGGCAGGGCCTCAGGAATGCCTTCCCAAGAGAAGCTCTGAAAGGCCAAGGCTGGCCCTGTGGGCCCGTTGCGCTGGGTGGGCAAGTGGAGGCTGGGGGACAGGCGGCCGGGGGGAGGGCCAGCCCCGGGGGGACCCTTGGGGTCCTGGCCACGCTCCCCACCCTCAGCTCAGGTTGGGTCTGCTCCTCAGTCCCTGCCCCAGCCCACGGGCAAGGACACTGGTCGGGGAGGGCGAGAGCCCCTGGCAGGAGATGAGGGGCCGCCGCCAGCTGGGGTCCCGGTGCGAGGCGGGGGCCGGGACAGAAGCCAGGAGGGAGGCGCAGGCAGTCGCCAAAGCATGGAGGCTGGCAGGCGGGCCCCCACCCCGGGGGCGCGGGCCCCAAACACCCAGCCCCAGGGGCATTGTGGCGGCAGGGCCTGCCACCTCCCCTGCCCCCTCGGGGGAGCCCAGCACGTGGGACGTGCGTGCCCACTCATACCCGCCAGCAACGTGCACTTCTACCCCCAGAGGTTTCCAGCCCATTTTAGCAAACATGCGCCCACGGTCATGCTCCGGGTGCGCCCCGTCCCCAAGCCCTGCCTGCTGCCACCCCCCCCCCCCCGGTAGGCGCCAGCCCTCCTCCTGTGCGGGGTCCTGCTGCGGCAAGGCAGCGGGTGTGAGTGCCACCCAGGTGCACACAGGTGCCCGACCCACGCAGGCAGCGAAGGCCACCCTGCGCTCCACAAAGCCCGGCTCGCCCCCCCCCGTGCTCCCCCCCCCCACCCATGGGGCTCCGGAGGCTCTGCCTGGGCGTCTGAAAAAGGGGCCCTCGCATCTATTGAGCGCCCGCTGTGTGCGCCGCTCCCCTCGCCCCGCCTGCTGCCGCGCTACTTACTGAAGTAAAAGCCGCGGTCCCCACAGACAAACTGGAGGGTGTCCACCAGCTCCCCGCCGCACAGGGTCTCACTGGGGCGGTAAGCAGCGAAGCAGCACGAGGCCAAGGCCAAGAAGGTGAGCAGCACCAGCATCGACTTCCCCATCGGAAGCTCCATCGGAATCTGGCGGCGGAGAGGGGACGCGTGAGCACCCCCCCGCCCCCCAGCAAGGTCCCCCAGCGCCAGGGCGGGCTCCCAACTTCAGGCTCAGCTGCCGTCTGAAAGCAGGGCTTTCTCCTGAATGTTATTGTTCTAATTAAGAAACAACGTGTTTTGCCTGCGGAGGCGGGCGAGGACCCGCCCAGCAGGGGCCTGGGGGAAGCACCTTTGACTGGCACCCAGGGCTGGTCCGAAATTCCCCGTGGGGATGACCGTCCCCCCTGGCGTCCCTGCAGGGGCCCAACCGCTCCCAGGGCTGCAGGGACCGGTGCTGGACACTGGACCTGGCCTCCATCCTATGATGTCATGAGGGCGGGGCCAGCACAAGGCAGCGGCCAGTCCTGGGCCGCCCAGCGCCAGCCAAGATGGCAGACGGCCCCACCCCACGGCACCGCACGTGTGCCCCAGAGCACCAAGCAGCCGGGGGTCCTGTGGGCCGGCCCCGCCCTCCCAGGCTGTCGCTGAGCGGAGCCCAGGTCGAGAGGCCAGTGGTCAGCCCAACAGCGCCGGCCACACTCCTGGGGGCCTTCCTGGTTCTCCTGACTCGCCCAGTCCCCCGACTCCAGTCTGCCCCGGACACCCCAATGCAGGCAGAAAAGCCAAAGCCTGCAAGTCCCCTGGGGACCACCAGGCCCTCTCCCAGTCTGGGGGCACCAAACCCCACCCTGGGGAGCTGGAGGGAGCAGGCTAGGCCACCTGGAAGCCAGCCGCCCAGGTCCTCGGGGTCCAGTTTGGAAGGAGAGGCAGGTCTTAGGACACACTTCCTGTGGGGCACAGCAAGGTGCCCCTGCCCCTTCCAGGAGGCGGAAGCCCCCCAGGCGGGCGGCCCCAGGCTGCCCTCTGCAGACCCAGGTAGAAGCCCCTCCTGGGGGGGGGGGCCGGCACAGCCAGCGCCACTCAGCCCACTGGCACCCTGCTGCTGGCCGGGCGGGGGCTGGGCAGGCTGCCCAGAGGGGCCCCTCCCAGGCTCCACGCCCAGGGGGCACCGGGCGCGGGGCCCGCCCAGCCTGGACCGGGGCTGCCGCTCGCTGGCCCAGGGGGCTCTCCGTGCCATAAATCGGGGGGATGAGGGGGTACGAGAGCAGCAGTCTTGCTTAGGCTCGGAGAGCGCCGTGGCCAGCTCCACGGAAGGGTCTAGAGCGCCTCCTCGCTCTCCTGCTGCTGCTCGGACTGGACCCCAGCGGGTCTGCCTGCTGCCCCCTTCCAAATTCTAAGAACACATCTGGCCGGCGGGTGCCGAGGCACCGGCCAGGCAGCTCCATCCTTCCGCAAGCCCAGCTTCTCCGCCGTGGGGTCCAGCCCAGAGCCCCGGCCGAGGGCGGAGGGCTGGACAGCCATGCCCAGGGAGGGCAGAGGCAGGCAGGGGGAGCGAGTGCCTGCGCTGGAGGCAGCGGGCGGCGCCGGGCCCGGGCGGGCGGGCGGGCTGGAGCGGAGGGCGGCGGGGTGCTCGCTCAACAGCGCCGGTTACCTGCCGCTGGACAAGAGGCTCCGGGGCGGGACGAGGAGGAGGCGGCTGGAAGGCTGCCTCACAGGAGAAGCTAATGTCCAGTTCTCAGGCTGGTCAGTGCCTCAGCTTTTATGTGTGAGTCGACTCCTCCCAGCCCCGGCTCCACCCTACCCCCCACCCCTCTCCCCGCTGACCACTCCCCCCGCCCCTTTGCTCCCGCCCCCTCCCAGCTTCCAGCCAGTCCCTCCTCTGCGCTGTGCCCCCACCGCTAGCGCGGGACCGTCCCTCAGCAAAGAACCGCGTGAGCGCGCGGGGCGGGGGGAGGGGGGGGTGGGCTCATCCTGAACCCCCGGCCCAAGTCCGCACAGGGCCAAAGAGGCCAGAAGGGGGCCACTTTTCCACCTCCTTGTATGGAAACTTCCATCTGCCCACGGGACAGGGGCTGGGGCAGCTACCCCCCGTGCGCTGTGCGCTGCTGCGCTGTGAGCCCCAGAACAGCCCCTTTCCCCGGGTCCCCACTTGGAAAAGTTGGGGACAGGGGAAGGGAGGGCCGTCGGGGGAATCCTGCAAATGTGGCGTCTGGCAGGACTCCTTGGCCAACTCGGCCCCCCTCGCTCCATCCTGGCCCCGCCCACCCCGTTTTCCTCTCTCCTTCTTGCTGGCACGGAGTCAACATACCAGGGTGGGTTTCGGAGACTTGCGCCCCTCCTCGTTACCCAGCACCCTGGGGGGACGGCCCCGCCCCCGCACGGCACAGATCGCGAACTTTCAGCAACGGCCCCCCCCTCCGGCCCCCCAAAACCGACCAGGAAGTCGCTTTTGCAGACAGCTCACACCTCTCTCGGCGTTTCCCGCAGCCCCCAGACCGCCCCCTCCGCGACGCGGGACAGAGGGCGCGCGGCTCGCCCCGGGAACGGGCCCCGCAGCCCCCGGCCGTCCGCCAGCCCGCCCGGGCGCAGCCCCCGCCCCGCCGGCCCGCGCGGCGCTTACCTGGAAGCCGGCACAGCTGCCGCCCACCTCCCTGCTGCGTATTGCGAACCGAACAGCGGGCGTTGGCCCTCCTGCCGGGCACTCCTCTGCCAGCGCCGCTCTGGCCGAGTCGCGGGGGCCGAATGTGCGACGGGGCAGAACGGGGGGATGGCTTTTTTTGGGGGGGGGGAGACTCGTCTGATTGTTTGGGGAGGACGGGCTGTCTGCGGGCTGGGGCGGGCCAGATGTTGTACTTTAGGGGGGGAAAGGGTATCGGGAAATGAGGTCAGCTGTTGTATCCAGGACAGAGGGGGGCAGAGATAGTGAGAGAGACAGAGTGAACGTGAAAGGGGGGGGCCAAAGAGAGGGCGAGAGGGAGAGGGGACAGCGAGAGGCGGGCAGGCTCACAGCGGGAGAGAACAGCGCCGAGAGAAACAGAAAGCGTATAATTAATCCACTTTGGGACGAGGGCGGGAGGGCGGGCCTGGAGGGGGGCGGGCGCTGGAGGCGCGGAGCCGGGGGGGACGGGAGGGAGCCAAGGGAAGGTTGCGGAAGAAAAGAGAGCGGGGGGCCGGGACCAGAGGCCGAAGAGGGGGCGAGGGGCGCACAGAGAAGCGAGGGAAGGGTGCCACGTCGGGGGTCGGGGGCGGTGCGGAGGGGGGCGGAGTGGAGGCGTCACCCGGACCGCGGGCGCCCAGCTCGGTTTGGGCCGACGGAGCCCTCGGCCGTCGCGAGCCCGGGCCTCGGGGGGGCAGCGGCGGCAGCGCTGGAGACGCTCCGGGAGCAGCGAGGAGTGGGAGCGGCCAGGCTGCGCGCCGGGGAGGGCTGGAGGGGGCGCGGGGGGTGATGACAACGCCGGCGGCCTGCGAGCCGGACTGCCTGCGGGGGGGACCGCCTCCTCGGGTGCAGCGGGACGGGCGTTGAGGTAGATAGACGAGGAGGCGGCGGGGGGTCCGCAGGCCCGGCGGAGCGCGACCCCGCCGACGGCGCCCGCGATGGGATCAGCAGCGTGGCGGACGACGTCGACGCGGGGCCGCCAGCCCGGTGGCGGCGCTGGCGGGCCGAGCACGGGCGGGCGTGGGCCAGGAGGCGGGGGCGGCCGGAAGGGGGGGCCGGGGGCCGGCCTGGCCTCACGCAGCTCCGCCGGAGAGCAGGCGAACTTCGGGCGCCAACGCCGGGCTCTTATAGCCGCGCCACCCCGCCGCGCGGCGCCCGCTCGGGCCCCGTTGGCCCGGAGCCCGCGCCAATGGGCGCCCGCCCGGCCCTTGCCCCGCCCCCGGACCGCCTCCGCAACTCGAGCCAGGGGGAGGGGGGCGCGGGCCAGGGGGCCCGGGAGACGGGCGGTGGGGGAGGGGGATGTAGGGTGCGCGGGGACGAGATTGGAGTGGGGGCAGGGATCGCAGAGTGTGCAAGAAATCCCAAGTCACCGTTCTAAAGTGTTTAGGGGTTCTGGGGTGCCAGGATCCCTGCGCTTATGCGCGGGGGGCACGGGCCATCAGGGTGGGCGGCGCCCCAGGCCCTAGCGGTGGCTGGGGGGGTCCCTGCGTTCCGCCACGGGGCTACGCGGTGTGGGCGCCCCGTCGGAGTGAGGGTGCAGGTGGCTAAGCGTAGCTCGAGGGTCCCCGAGTCCCGCTGGGAACTGCGGAGGAGGCGCGGAGAGGGGGAGGGTAGTCCCTGGGCGCGCGCACGGCGCGCAGCCGCCACCTGCCCGAACAAGCGCTGCGCCTCGAGCCGCAGCCGGAGCCCGAGCGCCCCCCGGTGCCGCGCAGGAGCCGGGAAATAGCCGCAGCGGCCGCCAGGTGCGGTCCGTGCGGAGAATCGGCCGGGCCGGGCCCGAATCTGGGCCAGGCGTGGGGCCTGCGAGGCCGCGAGTGCCCGCGGGGCAAGCAGCAGGGCGGGAAACATCGCTCAAATCCTACCTGCATGACCGAGCTCACCGGGGTGCGTCTAAGCAGCTCGCCTTTGGGGCCCACCCAAAATATCCGGATAATGGTTCCCCCGTCCTCAGTACGTTGGACTTGCGTAGACTCGGGTTCAGCCCCGGGGGCCACCACGATAATTTGGGGGTCTGGGGAAACCATCTCCTGGAGAGTTTGGACGATGTAAGAACTCGTTGTGACTTTTACGGAGTCAAAACCACGCACAGGCCCCCGCGCCGCGCCTGTCCCCCCACCCCCCCCACCGCGCCCGCCCCGAGCCCCGGCCGCCCGCGCCTCTCCCTGGGTAAGGGGCTGCCGGCGGAAGCCCGCGCGAGGCTCGCCCCTAACTCCGCCATCAATCACCTCGCCCGCGCTCCGCGCGCGCCTCCCCGAGTCCTCGGCCCGGCGGCTGGAGGCACCGCGCAGCGCCGCGCGAGCAGGGTGCGCCTCTCCTCGGCGTCCCTCCGACCCAGCGCCTAGCCCGCCCTGCTTCGAGACCGCCAAGGCGCTATCCCCACAATTACGATCTTTACAAACACCAAACGAAAGCGGCGCCGGTTTCGGGACGCCGGGCCTCAGCGAGCGCGGCCGCCCAGCGGCAAGCCCTCAGGGGGCTATCGCGCCCCGCGCGGGTCTCCCCGGCGGTCGCCCGAGGCGAGCGCCAGCCCGGGCGGGACCGCGGCCGGTGCAGGCCGGAAGGACGACCGGGGCGCGGAGGCGGCGGGGAGCTCACCGCGAGGCTGGAGGCTGCGTCCGCGGGCGCGCTAGGAGCCGAGGCAGAAGCAAGCGCTCTGCGGCGGGCGGTGGACGCTGCTGAAGGTGAGCGAGACCCCGGAGGCAGTCCCCAATGTCCGGGGGCAACGCCCAGTCCGTTGGAAGACCCGGGGACAATGCCCAAATTTGGGGGAAACTGGGGGCAATGCCCAGTCGTTTTCCTGGACGCGGGAGAAGGTCTGCCCACGTCCTGGCGGACACGCTGCCAGGCCAAGGGTGTTTGGGGAACACAGAAATTTCCTCAGTCCGAGGAGCTCCGGGGACTTCGTAGGAGACACGGGGAGGCCTGAGACTAGCGCCCAGCATGCGCGGGGTTGGGGCCCGCGGAAGGCCGCGGCGGCCCGGAACAATGCCCAGATATCAGGACACGCAGGTCGGAGCTCTGTCTGATTTGCGGGTGGAAAAAATGAGTGTCGCCAAGGAGGGGACCCAGGGGAGGCTCCGTGATGCGGGGAACTGCGGTTAAAGACTGCATTTGAAGCTTCAGAAAAAGAGTCCAAGTTTGGGGATGAGTGGGAATCGCTCTGTGCAATTGGGGCAGGAGGGACCCCAGTCTAAAATGTGGGGCGTGCAGCCCCTTGGTCAGCGTGCTTGGGGGAACCCCAGGAAGATTTGTAGGGTGTTAGGTTTTGGGGTGACTCCAGAAAAATCCTCTACATGAAACTTGGGGGGACCCGAGAGGCACATTGTCTCAAATTGAAGAAAGAAAACAATGGGCACGTTTTGGGGTCCGAGGCAAGCCCTCCACGCGGTGGAGGGAAGTGAACATGAATTTCCACGATTCAGAAACGCAAGTGCCGCGGCCTCTGCCTGGGCGCTCCCAGAGCCCGGGGAAAGCAGATAGCATGGCTGGCTGTCGCGGCTTCGGGGCAAAATCTCAGTGACCTTTAGAGGCTCTACAAACACGACCTAAATTTGGGGGAACCCAGGGTTGCGATCAGTACTTTTGGGGAGTACAGAAAATCGACGTCTTTTATATTTTATTTAAAAAATCGGTCCGTTCCCTCTGGGGTATTTCTGGTGAGCAGGAGAAAAGACCCCGTTTCCCTGAGTGCGGGGCGCATTGGGGAAAGCCTGGGGACCCCTGGCTGGATTTGGGGGATCCCTGGAAACGGTCCCCTGGAGACTGACAGCCGGATTCCAGGGACCCTGCGTGGCGGCGACGGAGCTGGGAGCCACAGGCCTGCGCACCCGGATTTCGGGGACCTGGGGGCACCTTTCCGTCCCTGCACAGGTTTATTTGGGGGGGCATGGAAATTTTGCCTGAATTTAGGGGGACTCGGGGGAAAGGGTCATAAAGTCAGGGGACCCGTAAATTAACGTTTAGAAAAAGCCCGGCTGTGTTGTGGAGGAAAACAACCTCCGCTCCCCGCTCCCCGTGGGGAGCTGGGGACAGGGCCTCCATGTGAGGTCCCAGGAAAAGAGTTTTGAACCTGGGGATCCAGGGAGGTTGCTCCGAGTCCTCACCATCTCATTTTGGGAGGCAGGATGAAACGTTCCTAAGCCCTGGGGCCTGGGGAACCAGTAGCCAGAGCCGGCGGCCTGAGGGACCCAGGGACTGCCGCTTGAACTGGGGTCCCTTGGCGGGAGGGGGGCACGGATGCTTTGGGGCCCCAGACACCGGTGCCTTCCTGCGACCGCGACCGGACCGGACCGCGCATAGTGCCCGTGCTGGGGGCGGGAGCTGGGGGGGCGGGCGGCTGGATGGCAGTGCTTTGCATTTGAGGGGACCCAGCACATGCGAGTGCCCTCGGCCAGGGAAAGGGTCCGGCGAAGCCCGGAGTTTCTGGTCTGAATTTTAGAAAACGCGGGTTCTCGCAGGCAGTAGCTAGTGGGTCACAGGGGATTTTCCAACACTTGAGATGGTATGAGGTAAAGAAAATATCTAGAACATTTGGTGACTGGGGACACCATGGAGGCCGGTGTCACAGGCCCAGGTTGCGGTTCTGCAGGTGGAGCGTGGCCGGGGGCAGCTGGGGGCCGTGCGAGATTCGGGGGGACCTGCATAGCCCACGCGCACCCCTGAGCGCTTCCAATCCCAGCCGGCTGCACGCGCGCTTTCGGGGCCCGGGGGACAGGGCGGCTCGGAGAGCCCTGGAAGGGACGGCCCCAGGTCTCCGTGGCCCGCGGGAAAAATGCTCAGGGCGGGTGAGAGCTCAGAAATCACCCTCTGAATGTGGTGGGACCGAGGCTGCCAGAAAATGGACTGTTTAGCATTTGGGAAGGTGGTCGGCGGGTGTCGGGGAAACTCCTAAACACGGGTGGCCGCGAGGAGGGCGAGCTGGGGGCTCCGGGGGATTTGCGTAGTGTGCCGGGGCGGGGGAGGCCAGGGGCTCTGGGTAACGTTTAGGGAGCCCGGGTGGGGGCCGGTAATTTTGGGGGACTCTGCAGGTAATACCCTAAACTGGGGGACACCGGCCTGGGCGTGCCAGGGCAGCGACAGGAGGTTGGGGGCACCTTGCAGTGAGTGTCCACCGTCGTGGAGACACGAGAAAAAAGAGCCGCTCGTTTGGGGACGCACACCTCAGAGCCAGAAAAACCCCGTCCGGCTCCTGGGGGG